GGAGACATCTAACCACAACCATGACTCCTTGAAAATTCGAGGTTTTCTAGTCATTTTATACTACAATGTGTAGGTTGGCTCTTGTTGTGGACTTCGTGGGTCGTTTTTTTTCTTTCCATCTTCGTTTCCTCAGGTTAAACCCGTATCCGGATGTGTGGGCATGTGTATTTACTTTTGTAGATTCGGACCTGATGAAGCCAACCAGCCGAAATACGTATCGCCCAGATTATCCTATTTTCTGCTCGAATCGACTTTCCTCCTTTTTTGCGGATTTTGTTCATTATTTACCTACTTTTTGTTATATACCGTTCTCCGCATGATCATTTTCTCTTTATATATATTCGCCCACCATACAAAGTGACGACCCCCCATGTAAAATTTACATACCAAGTGAGGACCGCGGCAAACTATGTATCCTGTTCCCCAACCCCTAATCATTAAGAAAACGTGAAAAACAGATGGTCCTCAGTTTGTACCCAGCACGTTAAAATGTGTAAATCGTACTTGGGCTTTCCGCGGCACCCGGCGCTGCGCGCGCGGAATATATTTTCTGTACGTGTATATTTGGCAGTCAATAGAAAACCGTGCGACGCACCAAGTGAGGACCGCAAACAAGGCAACAACGGTCGGACCTCGGAAGCTGGGTCATACGAACTGGACATTCCAATCCAAATATATTTCTTATAAGAGAATAATAATCGACGTCAGTCGACGATACTATGTGTCAGAACTACTCGAGCGGCGTCACGTAAGCCGCGGTAAAGACGTCGGGGTGAACTGTAAGGTGTGTTTATGGTTTATGAAATCATCTAACATTAAAAAAGTTGCCGGTTGGGTTATTATCACATAGGGGACCTTTCTGTGAGAAATAGCTTTTATACTAAACTTAAATATGTAAGAGTTATTTGACAGATACGATTTTTGAACTTTTCAAGGTCACTAACCTGGGATAAACTAGGATCAACCTTACCGGCAGTTCTCGATGAATGGAGTTCTTAAGAGTTAAAATGTGTAATGGATGTGTGGCGGGTTGTCCGGTAGGATTAACGGGTGGCGGCATCATAATAGTCTAGAAGCAGAGCCCCCATTTTAAATGCGGAGCATTATTAGGCAGCAATAAGAGCATATAAACATTTAAGTCATTTGATCCAAATTGTGATCTTTGGCCCCCATATTAAAAAATGGTCGCCAACCTGTAAAACGGTCATTCAACGTACCTTCGTAACCAGAGAGCCGATTTCAACTTTTTTTTTCAAGGCAAACATTTTATGATTACCCAATCTTTGAATAATTCAGCAGTTATTTAGATATGTCGTCAGATGTTATGGATTTTTGCAGGTATTCAACTTGGTATGAGAAAGAAATCTATTTTTGGTAAATACTCCTTTCGAACAGTTACAAGTATTAAATTCATAAATACTAAAGTGAGTTTTGGTATATCTTATCGAGCAGTTGAAATAACAGTTCAAATCCTTTAAACTACATGTAAAGTGGTCTGTCTTTGGTAGGGCTGAAACCCAGTTCGAACTGATGAAAGTACAGGATTTACTAATCCTGACACAAAATAGAAATGAGTAATTCAAATCTTTCAAAGATGGTAACGCTGACTATAAACAGGGTGCTATAATTTGTAACGTGTGTACTGATATGTGCTCAGAACGTTAATCTGGAAATTGATAAAATATATTTAGTATGTATGTAGTATTTGAAGAAACATATCACGTGATTTGAGTCATAAGACAGCCACAGTTAAAAATGGCGACCGAATTACAAAATACTTCATATATCTGAATAATTATTGGATTATTCGAAAAATCCATGAAATCAAAACACGTTTTATTTAGAAACAATCGTGCAGAGGTATTTATGTAGTTGATCTTGGCTAGTATTTCAATTCCCCTATGTTACCATCCATTGAATTCAAATTCTATGCTAAAGTTAATACTACCAAAAAATCAGCACATCCCAAATATCTTTGATCTCCTCTATAGGATAGTTTCGTTTCTGCGTTTGTTAAAAATTGCGAAATGATGAGCGATGACGAAGACGTTGTTTTAGCTGCTGCAGCAGCAATGAAGATGGGAGATTTTGGATTCGCCCGAGTATCCGCAATGGTAGAAAAAAGTACCGTGCCAGTAAATATATGAAAGATTTACTACTTGATGAGGTAGATGAGTTAAATGTGGAGTGCAGAAACGACGTGGGGTTCAGCAACTTCTTCAGAATGAAAAGTTCTGATTTCGAGGTTTGTTGAATATAATTGGACCGAAAATCTCTAAAAAAAAACACCTCCTTTAGAGAAGCTATTCCTGGAAGTGAACGCCTTGCGGTTACACTGCGATGTTTCGTCTATCTTAAAAAAATGTTATGCAACGTTGAAGTGTTTTTATGTCAATCGCTCTATTTTGAATTTTAAAGTTAGAAAAAAGTTATGTGAGGCTATTATATTTCCAAGCTTATTTTACTGTAGCACTGTGTTCTATCATTGTCTTGATTCTATCACAAAAGCAAGACTCCAAAAACTCCAAAATACTTATCGATTTGTATTTAATCTCAAGAAGTATGATCATGTTTCCTTAAAGAGATTTCAGCTTGGTTGGATGTGTATAGAAAATGCTTGCAAGTACCATATAGCAGTGTTTACACATAAGATCATATCTTCTAGATCCCCCTTGTATCTTTATGAGAAATTTGTTTTCAGACGAAATAATTCAGACATTGATTTCAGACACAAAAAAAGACTAGAGATCCCTATGTATAAAACAACTTTATTTCGTAGTTCATACACTTACAATGCTATCCTGATTTATAACGAATTAGATGACAATATAAAGGATTGGTCAGTAAACAGATTTCGTAAGCATGTGAAACAGATTTATTTGTCATTGTAGTAATTGTGGAAAAGTTAGTTTTTAATTCTTACATTTAATTTTATTTTACGTAATATATGTGTGTATATATGTATGCTAGGAAGCTATCAAGCTCGTTGTTTTGAAGCGTCTTTTGCTTGTCAAAGTTTCCTTTGATTGAGTGTTTCAATTTAGTATTTGGGTAGGTTAAGTAGAGTAGCCAAGAGCTAGACTTCGCCTACGTAGAGGTCACATTATGTTGTAGTGTACGTAGTCATGCCATAAGTTCTGTCCCTCGTTTTCAAACAAGTGTAGACCTGTTAATACTTGTCCGATTGTTTACATTGTGGTGTCAGTTGATTAAGCGCTTTTCGGGTAATTACATATACCTCAGTTTGTATTGATCTCTCGAAGCATAACGATGGAGTGGGGCAAGGCAGAGAACCGTATTGCAGTGATAGCTTTACATAAGTGTAATCACAGTGCTAGTCAGATTTTTGAACTCTTACGCGGCCTTCAAATATCGCGTAAATTTGTGTCTAGGACCATTCAGCGGTACAATGAGACGTCCTCTGTTGATGACAGGCCAAGAAGCGGAAGACCTCGTCAAGTAAGGACTCCAGCAGCCATCAAAGCCGTAAAAGCCAGGATTCAAAGGAATCCACTCCGGAAGCAGAAGATCCTATCCAGGGAAATGAAGATTCCTGTCCGGACGATGTCGCGCATCATTAAACAAGACCTAGGGCTAGGGGCTTACCGGAGACGTACGGGCCAGCGACTTACGGCCACCTTGCGACACATCAGGGCGACAAGATCCAAGAAGCTCTTGGAGAGGTACGCAGCTGGGGGATTCCGAAAGATTTTGTTCACGGATGAGAAAATCTTCACCATAGAAGAAAAATTCAACCGACAAAATGACAAAGTGTATGCAAGGAGTTCACAGGAAGCTTCGGAGATCATTCCGAGAGTTGAGAGAGGCCACCACCCTGCGTCAGTCATGGTTTGGTGGGGGGTGTCCTACGAAGGGGTCACTCAGCTCCATTTCTGTAAACAGGGCGTGAAAACAAAAGCGGCAAACTATCAGAGCGACATACTGGATCCTATCGTCAAGCCTTTAAGTGGTACATTGTTTGCCAACCAACACTGGGTCTACCAGCAGGATTCCGCCCCCGCTCACAAGGCTAAGAGTACGCAGCGCTGGCTGGAAAGCAATGTGCCAGAGTTCATTGCTGCGGAAGATTGGCCCTCAGGGAGTCCGGACCTCAATCCTTTAGACTACAAGTTGTGGGACCTGCTAGAGCAGTTGGCCTGCTCCAAAGCCCACCGTAATATCGAGTCCCTGAAAGCGGATTTGATCCGATCAGCGGCAGCTATTCCTTTGGAAGCTGTGCGTGCAGTGATAGATGAGTGGCCCGCGAGATTGAAGCAGTGTGTGAAGGCCAAGGGGGGACATTTTGAATAAAACTGTTTGATTATGAATTCTAAAAATGTTGTCGAATAAATAATATCTTTCATATAAATATATCTTATCTTGTTTCATTTTTATCATGAGATTATCATGGGACAGAACTTATGGCACGACTACGTATATAATGTGCCTAATAAAGACATTTTATTATTATTATTATTATTATTATTATTCATTGCGACTGGAGATTCCTACCATTCATTGATGTATACCATGAAGATATCCAAGCAAGCTATTTCGCGTATCGTGCCAGAAGCTGGTAACGCCCTGGTCGAGGCTCTTCAAAATTACGTCAAGGTAAGAAATTTAAAATGAAAAAGTAGATACAGTAGGTATGTTTTATTTATTTATGACACTAGGAAAAAAGACATAAAAATATGACTACTTAAGTACTAATTAGCACACAGTAGTTAAGTAGTAATAAACATTGTCCAGTAGCAGACCTTTAAATCTAAAAACAAGCTGGCTAGTCATTTCTTCTCTGAAAATTGTCAAAATAAAAAGCATACGTTGATAGTACGAGTAGTAGTGAAAAGCAGTTTTATAACATAAATTCAGAAATAAAAGTAGGTAATTCAAAGTTAGAAGTAACCACACGTACAGTAAAAATATTGCGCAAATAAAATTTAAATGATGTATAAAAAAGTATTTCAAAAAGAAAATCATGTGCCAGAAAGAAGTGGTCAGTGTGTCGGATCATCGTCATGGCAGGAGTGTTCTTCAAAGCTCTGTTGTGGGTAGTTACTCATAAAGCATTCAGAGAAAATAGATGAAGTTTGGGAATATGCAGGTGACGACGATTGGGAACTTGCAGACGAATGCACTGGATGAGTTTGGCTCACCGCGATGCCAATTGATGAGTAGTACGTCATGGGGGAAACAGAACTTGCCATATTTGTGGTAGAAAGTGGCATATTACTGTACGCATTCCTAGTTGGTGCATTATAGTGTTCATACATCTCCATTTCTGCGTCAAAAAGTGCTTGGTTGATGGCATTTGTCACCAAAAATCCGGTTCGCGGTGAAGCTACCCTGCATAGCTTCATCGCTACTTGTTCGCCAAACAATGTGTAGTAAAACGCACGAGTTGGCAGTTAACCAAAGACTGATTTATTTGAGAAAAGACACAGGATGAGTACAGAGTGTCACATTGGTGACGCTAGATGGCGCAATCATTTACATTTTTCATATCAATCGCAACACCCCCACTATATCAAAAATTCCCAATAAACTAAAAAATTCTGTTTACATTTTGATTGCACCTTAACATATAACTCAATACATTTACTTTTCAACTATTCCAAGTGTTTTCATGAACTTATAGTGTTTTACACCTGATAATCCTTTAGTTAGTAAGTCAGCAGGCATGTTAGAAGTTGGCAAATATTTTACTTCAACTATATTATTAATTACGTCACGGATGAAATGATATCGCACATCAATGTGTTTATGTGACTGATGATTATTTGCCAGCTTTAATGCACTCTGATTATCATTATACAGTACAATTTTATTATGATAACCAGACAATTCATGCTCTAAGTTTTGTAAATAAATTGCTTCACGAGAAGCTTCTGACATAGCCATAAATTCGGCCTCACAACTACTTAATGCAACTGTCCGTTGCTTCTTACTTTCCCAAGAAATAGCAGATCCAGATTTCCTAAAACAAAAACCTGTGTATGAACGTCTGTCATTGGCATCACTGGCCCAATCTGCATCTACGAAACCTTCTAAATCTGCTCTTCCTTTAGGATACCTCAAACAATAATGTTTAGTTTTCAACAAATATTTTAAAATTCGTTTAGCATAATTCCAGTGAGTTTTTGAATAACAATTATTGAATTGACTGGGATAACTGACTGAGTAAGCAATATCTGGTCGAGTTAAGACTGCTAAGTACATCAAACTACCAATTAACTTTTGATATGGCAACTTATCTTCACAAATATCTGACCTCTCTATATTTAATTTACATTCTATAGGAGTATTAGCCATATTACTCTCAATCATGTCAAACTTCTCAAGCAATTGTTCAATATAATTCTCTTGATCTACAGTTATTACATTTGAACTTTTATCTATGCAAATTCTCATACCTAGATATCGTTTGACTTGACCTAGATTTTTTATTTTAAATCTCTGACTCAAAGCTTCTATTAAACTATCAGTTTCAAGCTTATTATTCGAAAATATTATAAAGTCATCAACATAAACTCCAACAATAGTTTTCTTATTGTTAGTATGATTTTTTATAAACACACAAGGCTCTAGATTGCTCTTACTGAACCCTAAATTACACAAAGTTTCATCTACTCTTTGATACCAAGCAAGAGATGATTGCTTTAATCCATAGATAGCCTTTTTTAATTTTAGCACTTTGTTTGAATTTTTGATAGGAAAACCTTCTGGCAAATGCATAAAAATATTTTCTTTTAAATAACCATTAAGAAATGCTGTTGTGACATCTAAATGAGTTATTTCCATTCCTAGTTGCACACTCAAAGCAAATAGTAAGCGCAAGGTTGAATGCCTAATCACTGGAGAAAAAATTTCCTGATAATCTACACCTTGTTGCTGTGTAAAACCTTTGGCTACGAGTCGTGCACGATACCTCACTTTATTGTCACAATCTAATTTCTTCTTCATTACCCATTTGCACTGCACTACACTAGCATTGTCTGGAGTGTCAACAACCTCCCATACCTCATTGTCCTCGAACGACTGCAGCTCCTCTGCCATTGCTTGTAGCCATTGTTCTTTTTCATGACCACTGATAGCCTCTGCATATGTCATTTCATCCTCTGCTATGGAAGTAGTACACATATTGATAATACCATATCTAGAAGGCCTCTTCCTTCGTCTCTTTTCTCTATCTACAATCTGTGGTGACTCTGGTATATCTGAAACTGACGGAGCTTCTTCTTCTTCACCAACTATGTTAGCTTCTTCCTTCTCTGTCTCCGATACTTCCGCTGCCAGTTTTCATCTTCGCCATCCTGGCCATCTAGGTATTCTGAGTCACTAGAGCTTGACTGTTCAGACTACTCAAATTCAACCTCAGATTCCTTCTTCAAATCCCCCACTGAATCTGTGGTCCCTGTAGGAATGGTGACTATCTCATTCTTCTTTGGCTTCTCTGTGATCACAACGTCTCTACTGGTTGTTACAATATTCTTCACTGGATCATAAATTCTATAACCCTTGACATTATCACAGAAACCAACTAGTATATGTTTCCTAGACTTCTTGTCCCATTTGGTCCTTTTTTCTTTTGGAATATGTACCATTACGGTACTTCCAAATATACGTATGTGGGCTAAGTTTGGTTTCTTACCGGTCCATGCTTCATATGGAGTCTTTTCTGTACCTGAAGCTACTGATCGGTTCTTCAAATAGACAGCTGTATTGGCAGCCTCTGCCCAGAACTTCTGCTCAAGATCAGCTTCGAAAAGTAAGCATCTCGCTCTCTCCACTATAGTACGATTGAACCTCTCACTGAGTCCGTTCTGTTCTGGTGTGTATGGATTTGTCTTTTGGTGTATGATACCCTCTTCCTTAAGAAAATTTTCAAAATCATTGCTGCAGTACTCACAACCATTGTCTGACAGCAGGACTTTGATTTTCTTGTCTTGAAAGTTTTCTGCCATTGACTTGAATTGTTTAAAATAGCTTAACACCTCACTCCTTGCTTTCATAAAATAGATTAAGGTCATTCTGCTATAATCGTCAATAAATAGCACAAAGTATCGTGCACCACCAATTGATTTGTTCTCCATAGGACCACATATGTCTGTATACACAACATCTAGAACTTCCTGTGCACGTGAGCCTGTTGAAAATGGTAGCCTTGCCATTTTTCCTTCACAACATACGTTACAGTTAACTTTACTTGTGGAAAACTTATCTGGATAGTCCAATCCTTCCACTAAGCCACGAATTATCTGACCGAGTCAGTCTACTTGCTTTTTAAAAAGATTTATTCTCGATTATCAAAAATACAATTCTATTGATGTATATAGTATGAGCGCTAACAACAGACTAACTAACTCTGTTTACAATAATATAAGACTGGATAAGGCAAAGCGCTGATCCAGGGAAACTCGATCCTCTTCTTTAGTGGTAGGGGTAAATCTTCTGTACTATAACGCCTCCCCTTGTAGATGCAACTTCGAGGGTTAACGAGGAAGTTGCACATTGGAAAGATCAACTTCTTCAATAGGGGTTCTTTGTGGTTTCTTCGGCTTAGTAAAAATCTTCGGAATGATCTTCTTGTAGACAAAACAGCAAAGTAGCAGCAGCAGTACTCCATACGACAGGATTGTCCAAGAACTGGGAATGTGCGACACCTTATGTGAATGGATGTCAACACGATTTTCTATTAATCTTCTTTTTACTTTGTGAACTTCATCAAATTCTATTTGTTCCATATGAAGGCTGAAGTCATTCGGCTTGGTAGCAATTGAAGTATTGCTATCTATATTTGGAAAAATAATTGGCTGACTTCCAATCGATATAGGCTCTTGATTGGCGATCAGGTCTTGATTTAGTTCCAGTGTACAACCGACTGGAATTTCGGCTAAGTAGGATCCCAAAACTTTGACTGTTTCTTGGCCTTCTTGACAGCTTAATGTAATGGTGGTTTCATTGGGTAAAAGCAAGATCCATTGTCCGAAATCATGCAGTTTCTTCATTACTGGCTCTGTGATTACGGCTTCTACTTCTCGGCAGGTAGTGGGAGTTTTTTGTACCAGTAGTTGACCTTCACAGGGATTGGATTCTTTGATTCTTCTTAAATCGAGTTGCTTGCAAACGTACTGTTTTGCGACCGTTTCCGTGCATACGTCTCCCGCAAAAGCGAAGTACAACTCATTCTTTACAAGATATTTTCCAGAAGGGATGACTACTTTGAACAGACCCTTATGAAAGGTTGGAATTGAATATAAGTGATAATAATCAAATTAGAATGTATGAACAATTGGAATTTGAAGAATGTATGTTATTTTTCTATCAACTGTATAACAGCTGATTTTAATGAGCTTTTCAAAAATCGGGATATTATCCAAAGTAACTTCTAAAGGGAGTTGCTTTGTGGATAGTTTTAATGCCACTGAATTTAGTGCTTGAAGTAAATGTTTTGGTTTGATTACACTGGGGTGCATAATTCCCAATTTTGCAAAAGTAAGTGAGTTTTCTATATCCTGGAGTACTGAAATTATGATATGATAGATATTCATGATCTCTGAGATTGTATCTCTCAAGAAAATGCCATTTTCTATGTAGGCTTGTGTGTTAATCATAGCTGTTGAAAGCTGATTTATTTTAGCTTCCAATAGCTTTTGGTTATGAGTAATCTGACTTACAGTTTTATTGAAATTATCGATAAGTTCGACAGATAAGGTATTCTGACTATTGATAGCTTCTGATAACTTGTTTTGATCATTCTGCAAATCGCTTATTAGAGACTCGAATTTTTCACCATCTGAAGCATCCAGGTTTCCTGTGATTGCTTTGAAAATTGAACCTAAGCCGTTTATTAATCCCCTTTTTATTCTAACAGAGAATGATGGAACAGTTTCGTAAGTAGAGGGAAAAATGTCATTTAGTTTTCCGTCTACTTTTCTTTCTAAGAAATACAAAACATTGAGGTAATTTGCCGAGTGTTTATAGTGCTCAATATATTTCCTGGATAAATTCGCATCATTTTCGGTTTTTTTCTTAAGGTCATTAACTTCAGTGATTATTAAATTGACGTCGTAAAAAATACAGTATTGAGTGACAATTTTTTGTAATTTTGGCAGTCCCTAATTTCATGGGTATCAACCCTAGTTTATTTTCTAAATTCTTCAACGTTATCGTACCATGGATTCCTATGATTCCTGGGAACCTGTAAAATAATATATTCGAAAGAAAATCTTATTTTTAGCGTGCAATTAAGAGTAAAGTAAACGTAGATTACATACATAGTTTCTTATCTAATTGCTCGAGGCTTAGTCAAACGAATAAAGTTTGCGTAGCGGACGTTTCAAATTACTTATAAGCACTTTTCCGTGCTGGTCCGTCGCGACGGTCTTTTTCTCCGTATTAACACTTTGTAGTCTACACGGCTTTGAGAATTTGTTGGCGTGCTTTTCTCTAACATGCTTTTTGACGTATACTGTTTCTCGGTTATCAAGTATAGTCGGACTATCGCAATCTCTGTTAACGCGTTCTAGCGTTTTCTCTTTGTTTTGAATGAGATCAGAATTTATTTTTGAATACAATAGTTTTGTACGCTCTTTGTGGCTGTTGGTATAGTCATTGAGGAGTAATTGGTCGATTTTGATATCGAATGGTTCATTCGACGTAATATGTCCATTGATTATATCTATAGGCTTTAATTTTGTTACAGAATGTAAGGTGTGGTTGTAGGCTAAAACGGCATACAACATTTTCATTTTTATAGGGGTTTTCTGAAAGCCTTCTGTGTTCAACAATCTTAAATGTTCGGTGATAGTTGAATGAAATCGTTCAACGACTCCATTAGAATCTGGATGATTTGGCGAAATAAAATGAAGCTTAATTTTGTGAAGTGACAAAAGTTCAGTTACAACGGTATTTTTGAATTCAGTGCCATTATCTGCGATAATTCGGGTAGGAATTCCATGATGAAAAAGAATAATATCAGATTATCAGCAATTTCAGTTCCTGAAAGCGAAGTAATCTGATATGCTTGAGCATATTTAGAAAAACTGTCTATAATTGTGAGAAATTTTGAACCTTCAAAAGTGAAAGTATCGATATGTACGATTTCAAAAGGTTCTGATGCAGTGGGGGTGAGATTAATCGCAATTTTTATCGGATGACGCTCATATTTACATTGTTGACAAATTTCACATTCATTTATAAATGTTTGGATTGATTTTTTCAAGTTAGACCAAAAATATTTTTCTTTTATTCTCTGATGCGTTTCCTCAATTCCACGATGATTCGACTTGCTTTCGTGGTAATTCCGGATAATGTCCTTGATATCAGTTTTATCTGTAACGTCGACTAATTTGGTTCTACACATTTTGAATTTCAAAGCATCGGACTTAAACATCCTTTGTAGAACAACAGAAAATTTTTCATATATATCTGGATTTTCAAAGTATAAGTGATAAATGACGTTAGGAGCAATATAATCTCGAATAAATTTAAATACATCATCGTCAAAATCATTTTCTGAAAATTGTACGTTAATTCGTTGCTTGCTTTCAAATAAAATAGAAATTTTTGGTGGTGCAGGTGAATGTTTTACTGTACTTATGATAATCTGATTATTTCCCTGATTAACTGCGTAATCAACTATAGGAATTGTCTGAATGGGGTGTTGGTCCGCATTTGAATGTACAGTTTCGTCTGGATTTTCAGGAAGATTATTTTGATATTCTAGATTGACTTGTTCATGTTCAATGATATCTACAATTTCGTCCGGGGGTTGAATAAAAAGACTGTTTTCGTCATTATCGACGTTTACGAACATAGATTCGGTATCAGGTTGTTTTGGGGTAGAAAAGTTAAATGTAGGTGTACTTAATTCAAATGAGCCTTTCTGAACTGGTCGGTCAAACTTAACGTTTTGGTGTTGAGTACCCGCGCATTCTTGAATCAAATCATCTAAATCGTTCCAAAATGAACTGGTTTCTTTTGTATGGATCTCTACACGAGACAGGGCATCTGCATTTGTATTCAGCTTGCCTTTCTTATAGATGATATTCATATCATACTCGTCTAACCTGATTTTCCATCTTAGTAATTTTGAAGAAGGGTCTCGAAGGGACCATAAGTATTTTAAGGGCATATGATCAGTAATTAGATTGAATTTTCTCCCGTAAAGATAGGGTCTAAAGTATTTAGTCGCCCAGACTATTGCTAGTAATTCTTTCTCAATCGTACTATAATTTCGTTCGGAATCATTAAGCGTGCGCGAAGCATAGGCGATAGGAAGATCCTGTCCTATAGGGCCTTGTGAAAGTACACAACCAAGGGCTACGTTGCTCGCATCCGTGGTTAAGTTAAATGGCTTAGAAAAGTCTGGATACTTGAGTATCGGTTCATTCATAAGAACATTTTTACATTTTTCGAAACAGTCAATAAATTCTGCATCGTGTTCAATTTTGGCTCCCTTTTTTAGACATTTAGTTAGAGGCCTTGTGAGTTTCGCAAAATCTTTAATAAAACGTCTATAGTAACCAATAAGTCCGAGAAAGCTTTTAATCTGCTTAGTCGTTTTTGGAATCGGAAATTTTTGGATGGCAATAATTTTATCTGGATTTGGCTTAACGCCGTCTGGTGTGACTACATGTCTGAGATAAGCTACTTCTTTACGAAGGAATTCTGATTTATCGAGCTGTATTTTAAATTTTGAAGTTCTGAGTCGATGGAAAACTGACCTTAAATTTTCAATATGTTCTTGAAGGGATGTAGAAAAAATTATAATGTCGTCGACATATACGGGACATTTCTCGTTTTGTATCCCCCTTAAAATATTATCCATGACGCGTTGGAATGTGGCGGGCGCGTTTTTTAGGCCAAAAGGCATCCGGAGAAACTCCCAATGCCCATTTTCGGTACTAAAGGCGGTTTTTTCTATGTCTGTTTCCTCCATCTCGATTTGATGGAAACCACTCGCTAAAGGCTCGATGACATTAAGCGAGTTTACTTGCTACTAGCCGGCGAATTCACTATCTGATAGTAAACTCGCCCAGTGTCATCGTATTCACTAGCTAACTAGCAGATTGTAAACTATCTATGAAAAAAGTTGAACGCCGGGCTACTTTACTCGCTACTCGCTGGCTTCTAGGCTTGTTAGCTAGTAAACTAGCCGTGTGTCATCATGGTTGCTAGTGGACTAGCTGCGAGTATCTTGTTATTTGGTTATAGTGTCTACAAAATGTCGACGGATATAGTTCGCGCGGGAGTGGTTATTTTAGCTCATGCTATAAAAAAGGAGTTAAAAATAAAAGCAAAGCAGAAATTAAGGCACAGAAAAGTGTGGGTAAAATCATGGATAGAAAGACATCATAAGAATGGTGCATCGAGCAGTTTACTGAAAGAGTTGAAGGAGGAAGATCCTGTGGCTTACCGAAATATTTTGAGATTAGATTGTACCCATTTTGATGACTTACTCGAGATGGTGCATGGAGTGCTCAAAAAAGATGATACGAAAATGAGAATGGCAATCCCAGTAGCCACAAAACTTGAAATTACACTACGTTATCTAGCAACTGGTGATTCTTTTAAGTCTTTAGAATACCTGTTTCGAATTCCAGAATCGACAATATCGAAGTTTTTGCCAGAAGTGCTCACTGCGATTTCTCGCGCCCTTCTACCATTCATTGAGGTGAGTGAAAATCAATTTACTACGACTTAAAAACATTTTTTTTTGTAAGGATATATTGTATGAAAGTTACATTATCTATATAGTATTACAGCATACTTGGTCCAAACGTAATCATTACCTGCTTTAAAACATCTTCATCGTCGTTTGAAGAATGCGAAGCAAGAGACTGATTGGAAGATGGTGAAAATGCAGTATTGGTTGGCTCTGGGGTTGAATCAACTATATGCTCCAAAGAGGATAGCTTAGACTGAATGATACAGTTCTGAATTTCTTGTTGTAGCAAGATGGCTTGTCGTTGTGGAAGCTGTCGAAGCTCAGATGCAACATACTTTCCGAACCCATCATAGGGCTTCTCCTCAGCTGCATTTTGTGCAATTTTGTCCAAATGATTAATCGCTTCTGATATTTCAGAAGGTGATTTTTCGGGTGCTGCTCGTCTTTTCGCCCTTTTCGTTGACGTCGCTGGTGGTATCATTTTTGTAGGCGACTTATTCTTCAAGCGTCCCTCTTGACAGTTGTCTTTGTCGGACTGAGCAGATTCCCTACAGCTTTCACTGCTTTCTTCTGGCATTTCTTCTGAACTGTTTTCTGAGATATCCTAGAAATCATAATGTTACTGATTTAAAATATTACTTCAATTTAATTATAATACTTTTATTCTTTGCAGGTACCTAAAACAGTTAATGAATGGAAAAAAATCGAAACAAAATTCTTCCAGCGTTGGAATTTTCCTAGATGTTTGGGAGCCATTGATGGGAAACATGTCATCATCAAAAGACCCCCGTGTTCTGGTTCAGCCTACTTCAATTACAAAAAAACCTATAGTATCATATTATTTGCTATGGTTGATGCCGACTATTGCTTTACTTACATCGACGTAGGAGGAAATGGCCGAGCAAGTGATAGTGCAATATTTAGAGATAGTACTCTGAACATTGCGATGGAACACAATACTCTAGGGATGCCTGAAAATGGCGTTATTGTTGGAGATGATGCTTTCCCTTTAAGATCAAATCTTCTGAAACCAAACAGTAAAACTGGCCTCAGCGATGTCGAAAAAATATTCAATTATCGTCTGTCCCGTGCCAGACGGGTTGTAGAAAATGCTTTTGGAGTACTTGTATGGAGGTTTAGAGTATTTTCAAGACCAATTGATTTGAAACCCGAAACTATCCATAAAGTCATTTGGGCTACTTGCAGTCTTCATAATTGGCTAAGAAAAACTCATCCAGGCAACTACTTACCACAACAAGCAGTAGATAGAGAGGATTTAAACACTGGGAATATAACACCTGGGATATGGAGGGAAAATGGAAACATTCTGTGTGCAGTCTGTTAATCATTTGGGCAGCAATAATTACGGACGCGTTGCTGAGGAAGTCAGGCGAGCATATGCTAAATACTTGACAGAAGAACATCCTCTGCCTTGGCAATGGAAGAAAGTTGGAATAACAGTCTGAGTAATAATGTATTCATAATTATCTGTGAATAAAAAGACATTAAAGTGAATATATTTTACTCACCAAATTTGATTTGCTACTTCTTGTAGCCATAACCTCTTCCATATAATTTGCTTCATTGAACCATGCTAGCTTTGGCGAATGAACTTCCTCAGTACCACAGCCACTTTTCATACTTCTTTTGATTTTGTGCAGTTCTTGTCTGTATACGTCTTTAATTGATTTGATTTTAGCTTTCAATTGCATTACATCCATTCCTCCAATTAACTGCTTTTCATTAAGTTCATTAAAAAGACGTTGGAAAATCCCATCCTTTAATTTTGTGTTGCAATAGTCTTTGTCTTTTATATTCCATAACACAGGGTACTGCTGGTAGATGTTGAGAAATTCCACAATATTATTTGAGTTCCACTTCATCTTTTTATGAAGCACCCAGAAAGAGTCTGCAAATTATAAGATATACACAGTACGTGATTCTAAATCGCTAGCTAGTTGGCTACTACGCGAGTGGGAAGTTTTGTGTGTCATCATAACTATCTTACTCGCTGACTCACCAGCTTTTAAACTCGCCGGCTAGTAGCGAGTAAACTCGCTTAATGTCATCGAGCCTTAAGTCAAGGGTAGTAAAATACTGGCATCTGCCAAGTTTGTCTAGCAAGTCGTTGATATTGGGTAATGGATATTTATCGTCAATAGTCTGTTCATTTAAACTTCGGTAGTCAATTACAACTCTCCATTTTTGCTTCCACGAAGCGTCTAGCTTCTTTGGAATGACCCAGATAGGTGAATTATAACCTGAGCTACTTGGACGTATTATATTGGAATTCAACATTTTTTGTATTTGGCTATTTACTTCGCCTCTGTGAACGAATGGATAGCGATACGATTTTGTGTAAATGGGCCTTTCGTTTTTGGTTTTTATTTGATGTTTGACTTTATTAGTAAATGTTAGTAGAGTTGCGTCCTGGTAAAAAATGTCTGAAAACTCTCTGCAAAGTTGAAGTATCTCTGATTTCTCTTCAGAATTTAGGTGATCAATCCTGATTTTCGACAAATCTAGGTCAAATTTTTGCGACGTGTCTAAATAATTGAGATCAATTTCTGGCATTTCTGATAAATTAAATGATTCTACTGAAATCGGCTGAGAAAAATTTAATGTAACAGGCTTAGTAGTGTTATTCAAAATCGTTGTCAACGCAAAATTATTTTTTGCTATCGTAAGGCATTCAGGTATCTCGCAATTATGAAATTTTTGATGAGGAATTACGATTTCACCATTGGCGATCGATGTTTTGATTTTTATTACTTGTTCGGTTCGAGGTGCGACGGTTATCAAATTTAAGTCGTTAGAAAGCTGGTGAAATTTTAGTCTAATTTTGGCATAGGGCGTATGTAAAGTTCCTTTGCTTAAATTAATATCGGCTCTCAATAATTTTAGATTATCTAATCCAATCAATCCATCGAAAATATTGTGAAATTTAAATAGGTAAAACTTCAAATCCATACGATTAGGAAGATTGAAAATTTTCGATGCCGGGATGGACGCACTATATTTGTGAGCGGATTTTTGAAAAACAGTTGATACAACAAATGGATCATCTCTGATTAAATTTGGAAAAAATTTACGAGCAATACTGGGATCAATAAATGACTTAGTTGATCCAGAATCGATCAACATTTTAATTCCATATTCGGGAAAAAGAATGTAGGATAGTTCGCTAGCATTGCTGGCATTAAGTGAAATTACTTCTGGTGCTAGGTCTTGTGTTCTATGAATGAGTCCTTCTGAAAATTTTGAGGTGGTTCTACGTGATCAGTTTCAGGAATATCTTGTGTATAATACTCGCAAGATTGATCAGTGAAATATGTATCTGAATTTTGTGGTTCAGCTACAGTTTGATTGCAAACAAAAGATTCATTACCAGGAACTTCATAGGTGTTATTACTTTCTGTCTCTGTATTGAATAGCTCTTCAGCGATCCAATTTGGTTTTGGTTGTTGCTGGGCTGTCGAATTATGTTCAGGTTTGAAAGAGATTCTAGTAGAAGTACTCATTGGAGTAGTTTGTGGTAAAGTACGGTTAGGGTTAGGTTTGAAAACATTTCTGTTATTCTGTGTTTGTCTAAAAACTTGAGAATTCGTCGGAAATCTCTGAGGACGATAAACTGGTCTTGGCAAATTTACAGGTCCAGTCGGAAAAGTCGAATTGAACCTAGGTTGAAATGTTGAAGTGTTCGGCTGACTGAATGAATAATTAGTAGGCTGAAAGTATGAAGGTCTATTTTGATTTATTATTGGCCTGGAAGTTTGATTCTGTGGCACATTTTGTGATTTTCCAAAATTTTTGTTATAATTTTGGAAATAGCTGACATTGTATTCAGATATAACGAATTGTAAAGCTTGGCTTAGAGAGGTGGGTATCATACAACTAATTGTTGTACCCAAGGGCTCTCGTAGTCCGCACAAAAATGTTTTCAGAGCTAATTCTTGATATAAATTTCTTTTTAACACTTTTGCTTCTTCAGAATGTTCATGTACGTTTACATGGCTGCATAGCAGATTCAAAATATGAAGACACTTATCATAAAATTTTTGAGGCATTTCATTTGGCATTTGCCTCAACATAACCAAATCACGATTTAGATAAGTTTCATCTCTTTGATCAAAAAAATTCCTAGTCAGAATGTCTTTTAAATCTGCCCAGCTTGTGATATTTTGGATATTCACAAGCACTTTAGCATTTCCTTTTAATTTCGAGATCAGTGAATTTAGCAGATAGATATTTTGGAAATTATGTGGGTTCCGTATATCATAAAAATTTGCAATTAATGTTTCACTCACTGATAGAAACCTATTTAAGTCATTAGGATTTCCGTCAAACTGGGACGCAATTTAAAAATTCTGGTGTGAATTGAGACATGCTTGGAATATTTTCAATATTTAATCTAGGTGGTCTTAAAATAGGTGAGTCTGTTGAAAGTGTCAAATTATTTATAGCCTCTGCAATATCTTCCAAAGACATTTAAAATGTATAATTGCACTTACGCTAATACAAGGATGATCAAGTGCATCACGTTTCTTTCTTTGTCTTTACTTGGTTGCTTAACTATAAGGGGAAGATCTTGGTTGGGCAATCTGGTCCTTCTCCAAAATGTTCCGCTTGCAGATTTGGGCGATGTGTGGTCCAAATCCCTGACTTTCGTAGGTGGTAGCTGCACACGGTGTCTTCGATAGACTGGTTCCGCTCGAACTCCCACTCATCAAAGTCTTTAGTCAGTAGGCCGTTTTTCCGGTAAATTCGTCGATACGAAAACTGCTTTCGCGGTCCCGATTGATTCGCGAAACAGCCCGAAAATCCGATCTGGCTGCGCCAATTATCTGACCGAGTCAGTCTACTTGCTTTTTAAAAAGATTTATTCTCGATTATCAAAAATACAATTCTATTGATGTATATAGTATGAGCGCTAACAACAGACTAACTAACTCTGTTTACAATAATATAAGACTGGATAAGGCAAAGCGCTGATCTAGGGAAACTCGATCCTCTTCTTTAGTGGTAGGGGTAAATCTTCTGTACTATAACGCACGTTTCATTTTGTTCATGTTGTTGCTGTTTATATGACCAAGTCGCCTGTGCCATATATCGCCATTCACTGTTGATGTCAACAAACAGTTCTGTTTTCTGGTTAACTTTATAAACTCCATCAACCAGGTCTGCGTCAGCCACTATATCACCCAATTTGTTTCTTATTAGGCACTTGTTAGGCTTGAACACAACACTATTACCATTTTTTATGAGTTCACTGACTGATAACAAGTTTGTTGTGAGACTGGTTACACACAACACATCCCTCACTGTTATGTCATAATTGTAGTTTGTTGATATTTCTACATCACCTGAGCACAAAACTGGTACTTTTGTTTTGTCCGCAATGACTACTTCTGGGAGATCCGACGAATATGTAGGGTTTTTCAGCCAATTTTCGTTCGCAGTCATGTGCATGCTCGCACCGGAGTCTATGTAGAAATCATTTTTACTGAACTCGCCACTGAGAAAAACAACGCTAAAGGCGTTAGTTTGCTTATTTTTCTCATTCTTTTGTGGACAATTACTCATATAATGGCCTGTTTGTTTGCAACGATAGCAGGTTATGTTTTTCGTGCTCTTAGAGTTTGACGTATTGTTGACAGCCATGTCTACCAGTGTTGCCATTCTGGTTCTGACTTTTCTTGTTCTTCGAAGTCCGGATCGCTAGTGCTGAGTTCGTCGTTTCGGTCGAGTCGATAGTTTCCATATCGAGTAGCTTCGACTTGATGGAATCAGCGGTTATCATGATTCCGGAATGTTCGATGGCCATGATCATCGGCATGAATCGTTCCGGCAAGCCGGCTAGCAACAAAGATCCAACCCATTCATCGTTGATCTCAAAACCTGTTCCACATAAACGTTGAGATGCTTCTACTATTTGTGTCACATAATTCGTCATGTTTTCACATTTTTCTAACATTAGAGAAATCAGATGACGAAGCAAAGTAATCCTTCTCGAAAATTCTGAATCGTCGAACAAAGAATGCAATTTTGTCCACAATTCTTTCGTCTCCTTTATGTGCACAAATAACGATGAATCGACAGTCAAAGCCAACTTAGCTCGTGTTCTTGCGTCCAATAACCTAGCTTCAGCATCAGTTCCTTCTTGCTTTATAAACTGTTCTGCGCCTTCCAAAACTAGCAAGTTTTCGATCGCGAATGCCCAATCTTCGAAGTTTTCGCGTCCTCTCAGCTTCGGAACGTTTGCAAGTTAGCTGGAACACATTTTTGTTTGCACACGCGGAATTTAACTATTAAAACGACAAGAATTTCACTTTTTTTTTTGTTACACTCGGATGTGGCCCATAACCTGTAGTAAAACGCACGAGTTGGCAGTTAACCAAAGACTGATTTATTTGAGAAAAGACACAGGATGAGTACAGAGTGTCACATTGGTGACGCTAGATGGCGCAATCGTTTACATTTTTGATATCAATCACAACACAATGAATATTCATCTTTGGGGGCCACCCTTTTTGATTGAATGGATTTCATAACATTCAACGCTTCGTCAGGTCAGGTGCCTTAGCAGAAGTACTCATAAAAACTTTTGCTGAGTTGGTTTTGTGGGTTTTCGGAAATCTGAAAACTTTCATTTTGGGTATTTTTGTAGGAGTCTCCGCTGCTGCATGTTCCTCTTGAGTTGATGGTTGAGGTGAATCTTGGTCCCGAATTTTCTCCCCTTTTTCAGTGTTTTCCTTTTGTCTGCCTTTTTTTCCCTCGCCACATTCCACTGAATCCTGAAACATTTTTTTTTATTTTCAGTTGCCCCAAAGACACACAGAGTGGGAAGAACTTGCCAAACAATATGAAGAAAAATGGAATTTTCCAAACTGCGTGGGTGCCAGAGATGGCAAGCTCATCGCTGTGAAAGCTCCAATTCATTCGGGTTCAGAATTTTTTAAGTATAAGGGATTCTTTAGCATCGTTTTACTCGCTGTAGTAGATGCAAACTACAATTTTATATACGTGAATGTGGGTTGTCAAGGGATGGTGGCGTTTTGAATAATACATTTTTCAAAAAAGGACTTGAAGAAAATACTTTACATATTCCCCCTCCGCGGACTTTGCCTGGGCGATACTCGCCGAGCCCTTTTGTATTAGTTGCGGACGATGCTTTTCCTCTCACTCCTAATATTATGAAACCATACTCTGGATGTCACGACAAAGAATAAAAAGTATATTCGGCTATAGACTGAGCAGGGCCCGTAGAGTTTCAGAAAACGCATTTGGTGCACTATCGACCAGTTTTCGTGTAATTATATCTCCAATGGAATTACAACGTGACACGGCAACGAAAGTAACGATGGCTGCTGTTTATCTTCATAATTATTTGCGGAAAAGCTCTTCGAGATCTCTTTACAATCCTGTCGGAACATTCGACTTTGAATCTGTAGATGGTGAAGTTACTCCTGGAGTTTGGAGGCAAGACACTTCTTCCTCTCAACTAAGGCGACCTCCCAGGAGTTCCAACAAGAAGTGGGGCTACAGCTCAAGCTACTAGAGATGAATTCGCGGAATATTTTGTTTCTGCGCAAGGTGAAGTGAGCTTCCAATACAACAAATAAATTCCTCCATATTTTTTAATGCTGTTAAGTTTTTTAAATGTAATGAATCCTAGTACTATCTTGTAATGAAAATGGAAAATAAAGGAAGTTTCAATGGACTATTAGTTAGAAAATAAAAGTATCCTCTATTTTCTAATGATATAATACGGGTATTTTAGATTGACCCACTAATAGACCAACTTGAACCTTTAAATCGCAAAATTTGAAGAATAAAAATATGAACTTACCTCAACATTATCGACCATCTCGTGGTTTATTCTTGTCGGCTAAGAACAACATACCGTGATATGCAAACCATTTGCTCACGTATGCTTCGTCAGCACCACTATGCGTGTGAAGTTAGCTACAAAAAGCTGGCTCCACAATCCTACCGGCCGGCCGCGGCCGCTCGATTACAGCGGACCGAATAAACGCTGTCCGCCTGCGATACGCCGTGGCCGTAGCGTTACTCATAGAAGTTTTCAATAGTCCCAAACTACTGTTACTGTTTATTTACTTTTGTTTACACTTGCTGTACCAATGAAGGGTATTTCTTTTGAAAATATTTTTTTAGCGGATTTACATCGGATCTATCAGATGTTGACTTTTTTTGGCGGAAACTATTTTAAAGAGTTGGCAACGCTGGGGACATTCCTACCTCTTTCATTCTTCTGCAGTTCTAAAAACATCAAGGATCACCAGCAGCGAGCCTACAACGTGCACGTCTGTACACTGGCGTACTTATAGGGTTTATTTAATCGTACAGAGTTGAACACGTGCATCCTAACATACACCTTGGGAAAAACCATTATTATACATTATGATGAGGAAGAGAGATGGAAATATACAAAAGTATGTAGGTGCGTGAAAGACACTCCATTGTAGGATTGTATCTGGCAGCGTCGGAGTGTGACGGACAACGGGGTAAAGTAGAAGAGTGATAAAAGAGAGAGATGGCAGAACGGGCGCTGGCGCCTACCGCTTAGACGGATGCGCTCAACAAATGCGATTTGTTTCTCCCATTCGCAGAGTTGCCAATACCAATTAGTCATATATAGTCATATATACTCGAGTCGTGTAGACGTGTTTTTGGTCTGTCTGTAAAAAGTGTATATATCAACGGTTATCATGTGATTATTGCAGTGAAACTGATATTGCTATTTAGCTTGTGGAAAATCCTCCAGGACAATAAAATCTGCGTAAGTTTGGTTGGTGTATTGGAGGGTTTTTTCTTATTTCCGTTGCATCAGTTAGAGTGCTATCAGAACACAAAAACTACATTCCTGGGTACAGTCTTTCTTACGAGATGTTTTTTTTTGTCATGTTCTTTGGAAATAATTTATCGCAATTAATAGTCTGAGGAAATTAGATCCACTTGTAAATATGGCATCTAATGCAGCCTGTGATTCCTGTAAAGACAACTTTGTAGTCAACTCAAAATACATTGAATGCAGTATATGTGAAGGCAGATATCATACAGTTTGCGTTTCGGTGAAGGACTCTTGGTTGAAGCTCTTTTCTGATTGGGTTAATTTTTCTTGAAGTTGTGATAAATGTATTCTCAAATCCCAGTCACGTGAACAGCAACTGGCTTCTGAAATTGCAGCATTGAAAAAAGAGATCGAATTTTTAACACATGAGAAGAACTTGAGCTCTAAGATGATGGAGCAACTAGAATACACAAGCAATCTCCAAAAATCAGTCATTGACTCGCATCAGCAACAAGCAGCTCATTCCACTATGAATTCAGTTATGCTACCTTCGAGATCAACTGCTTCCTCAACGCTAAGCTTTAGCGATGCAGTCAAAAAAATACCGAACAGGTCTTCTGTCTTGCTAATCAAGTCTGACAGTAACTCTGGCAATAACGATATTCTGCGGGATGTAACAACTTCAGTAAATCCTGCTAAAATTAATGTTTGCATTAATAACACGCACAAAATAAGAAATGGAATTGCAGTTCACTGTCAAGATGAGAAGTCACTTACGGTTCTTAAGAATAGTTTGGATAAGGAGCTTGGGTCCAAATATTCAATCATGGAAGCTAGAAAACTTAATCCACGTCTCCTGATCAAAAACGTTAACCTCGACGGTCTGGATTCGCCCGAATCGATAATCAATAATATTGTAGCCTTAAACAATATTGATGACACGCATCAGTCTGACATAAAATTCGTTACCAAACTTAAGCATTACGAGAGCACAAATATCGTCATAGAAGTATCTCCTGACCTTAGGAATATCTTGTTAGAGAAAAGTTTCCTGTTCATCGGATGGAAGAAATCGCCTGTAAGTGATCATATACGTGTGTTGAAGTGTTTTAAGTGTTGTGGTTATGGTCATACCGATATAAGCTGCAAATCTAATGTTGTATGTCCAAAATGCTCCCAAAATCATAAAGCTAAAGATTGTAAATCATCTGTTTTCCAATGCATAAATTGTCTTAATGTTAACAAAACCAGTAAGAAAGGTCTACCAACTGATCACGCGTCTTACTCTAGCTGTTGTGCTGTTTTTAAAAGCCATTTTGATAATTTGAGAAGTAGAATTAACTATGGCTGACATTATTAAATTTGTTCACTCTAATACCAGATCAATTCTTCCTTCAATGGCGGACCTTTCTTTCATGGTTAATGATATGGATCTCGATGTAGTGGCTGTTACAAAAACATGGCTGTCTTCAGATATTCCAACAAATTCAGTAGATATTTCTGGTTATAACTTCCATCGTCGTGATCGTGGTAGTCGCGGAGGTGGGGTTGGCTGTTATGTCAAAAATCGTTTTTCATCAGAAATTCTATCGTTTGAGGAATATGATCGTACTTCTCTAGAAATGCTTTGGCTCAAGGTTCGTATTGGCCGTAAATGTATTGTAGTTGGTGTTATTTATAGACCGCCTCGGGGAAGTTTGGATGTTGCAGTAAGTATATTAGATAATACGTTGTCCATCTTAGCACCGTCTAATGAATGCATCTTGGTACTTGGTGACCTCAACGTTAATTTCTTTATTGACAATAAGATTAATCAGTGCTTTCAATCTTACAGCCTGCACCAGTTATTGAATGAACCAACTCGAATAATTGATCATTCTTCAACGCTTTTAGATCCGGTTTTCTTCAACTGTGCACAAAGATGTTCCAAAGTGGGAACTTTCACTGTTAACTTTAGTGATCATCAGGCTTTATTCTGTCACATTTCGTGTAAAAACAATAAACCACCACCTAGACTAATTACATTTAGAGACTATCGCAATTTTGATCTAACCTCTTTTGACGATGACTTATTTAGCGTTAATTGGGCTGAAGTTATTTATATGGCTAATATCGATGAGAAAGTGAAATTTATTTCCGATAACATTGTAGGACTTTTTGACATACATGCACCACTAAAAACAGTGAGAGTGTCTAAGCCTCGTGCACCATGGCTCACAAACTATTTGAAAATGATAATGAAAGAACGAGATAAGGCTTTTCATAAATATAGACGGTCTCGAACGGATGCGAATCGAAATCATTACAATGAACTGAGAAATTTTACAAAAACTGCTACACGTGCAGAGAAATCAGGCTACCTCCAACATCTATCTCGACAAAGAAACTCTGCAGCTCTTTATAAAGCTCTTAACGGCGCTCTCACAGTCAAGCAGAGTTTCTGAGGGGAATCGGGGGGGGGGGGGGGTGATAGGGAAACGCTAGTAGGACGGCGTTGTGACAAGGCAAGCGCTCTACGTTAGAAAAGGATAGTAATACGCAGAGGTGTGCTGTTCGCGTGCCTGGTTGAATTTGCATATTGCACAGAGTCGGATTTGATTTGGATATACGATCTAGCGTACGACTGTTTCCCTATTTTGGCGCATAGTATACTCAGCCCTTATTACTTTTATTACCGTTATTGTATTGTTGTATTATCGTGTTGTTATTGTTGTGTTGTTATTGTTGTGCTGTTATTGTTGAGTGTCTTTCTTATCAAGGTATCAAAAATGAACAATAAGAGAAATAAACGTGGCGTCTCGAAGAAGCCGCATTTAAATACGCACAGGAAAAAAAACGTTTTCCAGATAGAAAAGTAGGTACCAAAACAATTATGAATTTTAGCATTCATTTTGCCAATAAATTAGACTATACGTAGTTACTATTATAACTATATTTTATATGTTATTTTAGCTTAAAAATGACAGCAAGGTTTCGCATATGCATTCTCTAACAGAGACAGATGGCATGGATCTTCAAATTCAGGTGTGTATACCCTTTTTTTTTAGATTTGCACCAGAGGCTGATATCATTTCTGGCAATTCTGATTAAAAATGCAGTAAGTTTACTTCATGACGTCGATAATAGTATTGTAGAGCAGTTTAACTCAATCATAGCTAAATTCATTGGGGGTAAACGGATTAATTATTGCAAGAAGAGATCCTACCAAGGAAGATGTGCTGCAGCCGTAGTGAGCCACAATACACAGCGACCTGTTTGTGTGATCCAAAAGCGGCTACTCCCTAGTTTCAGTCCAACCTCTTTGATTGCTAAAGTTGAAGAAAGGAGAGCGCACAAAAATCTGAAAAGGAAGCTGAAACCAAGGAAAATTAAAATCAGAGATAGTGATACTAAAGAGAACGCATCCTATGGGGAATTCTGTGAGAAGCCTGACATGAGCAACGAAGACATAGAGGCTGCCAAGGTAGAATTCTTGAAAAAACTTGCAAAAACCGACTCCAAAATTTCCCAGATCGAGCAAGCCACAAAATCTCAGGATTGCAATTTGTGGCGTCTTCGTCGAAGAATGAGGTTGACTGCGTCTCGGTTTGGTGAGGTTTGTAGAAGAAGAGATACAACAAGTTGCAGAGCTCTAGTAAACGCCATAATATACCCAACCGAATTCTTTAGCAATGCATGTGACTATGGAAAAAAGCATGAAAGCGTGGCAAAATCAGAAATAGAGAAATCATATTCGCAATCAGAAGTACAATCTTGCGGGTTGTTTATTGATAGGACCCATCCATTTCTGGCAGCATCGCCAGATGGTTTGATAGGCGAAAAAGGTCTGCTAGAAATTAAATGTCCATGGTCGGCTAGAGAAATGACCCCTGGAGAGGGCATTCTGAACAAAAAAATTACGTTTTGGATAAACGATGAAATAAATAAAAAACATAAGTGGTATTACCAAATTCAAGGGCAGCTACACGTTGCACAAAGAGAGTACTGTGTGCTTGGTGTTTGGACCCCGTATGGTTTGAAAATAGACGTCATTCGAAAGGATGACGTTTTCGGGAAAAAATGAAATGGAAGAGAAATTGAAATTCTTCTACACGAACTGCTTGCTCCCAGAACTGGTCGATCCCAGAAAAAGCAGAAATATGCCAATCCGCGATCCCGATGTGATCTTGAAGGCACAAGAGAACCGTTTGAACAAGAAAAAGAGTTCTTGAGAATTGGCTATTTTTGCTGTACTCGGGTACCAAGATGGAAGAGATTAGCATATTACATTGTACGCCGTTACTAACCCCTTCGTGTCGGCAAATGCGGTGTGCAGATCTCGCTTTAGCAGCGATGTGCGAGATGTTATGCTAATCTCTTCCATTTTGGTACTAGTACCAGATGTTCACTATTTATTGTATATTATGTATATATTGTTTATTTAAATAAAAGTCAATCGTCAGGCTCAATAGCACGTAGCATCGGCTAGCTTTATCTAGTCTGTTAGATGGCGAATATTGAAATGTCACATTGACACGTTAAGCGCCACAGTAGAATCTGAAAATCCAGTCCACTGGGCCAAACTGTTATTATTGTCAAATTAGCTTGTTTTAAGTTTCGGTTTAATATTTTGTCTTGACTTTTTTCTCAAATCCTATGATTTTTCCCCTTTTTTGATTTTTTTTTCTGAGGTACTAATTGTATGTCGCGTGGCCCACAGACCAGTCGGGTCGCGTGGCACATAAGTCGCGTCGCGTTTTTTGCAAGTCAAGACTTGCATCATGTCGCGCGTTGAGCACTGTTTCGTGTCATTTATTATTGAAGCGTTGTTGGTATTGTACGTCATCTTGTCCAAATTGCTTTACTGTTTATAAATTATTGAATATCAAATTTGTGATGTCGCATTACGAAGCGGAGCAAAAAAGGCTTGAATAATTGTGTAATGAAATACTATCGGATGAAGAGAGTGGCAGCACTGAGTTATGTGGGGATGTATACTTATCTGATGCGTATTCTCCAAGTGGTAGTGAATCAGATAGTAGTTGTAGTAATTCCATATTTATCTGTATTACTGTTTATTTATACCGGTATTTTGTTTATTCCTGCATAAGACTTTGTCAATCTGTTTAGTTTATAAGAGTTCCTCCATATTTGTGTTCGTTAGAATATCGACATTTACCATAACTTACTGATTTGCTGTGAAATTACTTTGTTCATTTTTGAATGAGAATGTCTGATTATTTTATAAGATTTGCTTTTTGTTTTAGATTTGTAGAATATCCTCTTTTTGTAAAACTCTATAAACAACGTGTTTTTTAATGTTTTCATTTCCAATTCAGTATAATTTGGTCCCCCAGGCCACGGACTCTTGGTTCCCATAAAAAAATCACATCAGCATGGCACACGTCTTACGTTACGCGGCCAAATATAACTGCCAGCAGTGAGACATATCATGTGTGTCACGAGGCCCAAAGCGCCAAATGAGCTGCGACACACGCATTATATCTCATGACGCTTGTCGTGTTAAGTTTATTTTACGATACTCCATAAGGTTAAAGCTAAACAGTAAGTGACATTTTATTTGTGGTAAATGCGTTCACTATAATTATTATTTTTAACTAAAAAGATTACCGCCTCCAATGACCCTGGAACCACCTGGAAACTTTTGGTCACAAAGTTCTGTATTTTACCACACATGTCAAGTCTTTTCATTTGATATGTAAATTGGGGGTTTTGTACAAAAATATGTAACTCGCAATTTCGAAACGGCGGCAATCTTGGAATCAAATTTTTAGTGAAGTACTGTATTCTACAAGGCGACGACTCTTATTTGAGATATTAGCAAGTATGTTATCCGCCATTTTGTAACGGCCGCCATCTTGATTTGAAACTGTTTTCGTATTACTGTTTTGTACAAGTGCTTCCATTTGATATCCATATTGGGGTGATTGAACAAAAATGATTTTTTGTGGTATCACCTCTGAAGCATGGCCTATTGTATAAAAAGAAACGATCAAAATCGATTAAAATTTTCCCCTCTTTCATTGAAGTCTATTAAAAATATCACTTAATGGTCCGATGTTTATCTCGAACGACCGACGTTAAAACTGCTACTGTTTAACTTGGGACAACAAATTATCTGAATACGTCCTTTCTTAGTCCGTACACACCGCCGCGTTGCTTCGACTGGCAGCACGGGATAGTGGATAAAATTCGTGTAAAAGCCTATTTGCAGAGGTTTTCGCGCTTCAAAATTGACGCTTCATTTTTGAATATTTTTCAATGAAATTTTCACAGTGCACTAAAAACAAGACTCCACAGGGTGCTATAGAGCCACTTTTTCGTTTTTTCCTCTGGGTTATTTTTAAAAAA